TAAAATTTAACAGATATTTAAAATTATTTATTTTACAAAAATATTAATATTTATTTTAAATATAAATTATGCCCCATTGATTAGATATTTTGGATCTGTCACTGCTATCAATGATCTAACCCGTTAACTCGAGTTGAGATTTAATTCTACGGAGATATGTAAAATATTTTAGTTATATCCATTTCCCAATCAATATAGCATTGATTAAAAGAACACAGGAGAGGGTGTGGAATGTGGATCGTGCAAAGTGGATATAAATAAAATAATTTATAATAATATTAGTATTACAATTTACAAGCGAATGGTGTGCGGCGTGCATGGAGATCCGTATCAACTTGCTTTTGCTTCCGATTTGTGTATCAATCAACGATCATAAGTCCCTTCTTGTCAGCTATCTTTTCTCATTTTCCACTTCTTCTTGTGGGCATTTATCAATCATTAGTCTCATCCCTCAAACTTCATTCACTATATTTTCTTAATTGCCGACTTATCATTTAGAATTTCAATCCTATCGTGTTTCTTATGTTCTTTAACTTGGCAATATCTCATTCTTATATTGCACGTACGGGAAATTAATTAGTGTCTTTCACTTGAGAATTTTTAGTTTTATTACATCTTAGTTATTATTTTTGCCTTTGACGATTGATTTACTGTTACTGTAAAAACAACTTTGAAGATTGACGACGCCTCGACATTTATGAAATTGTTTTCTTTAATTACTTTTTTCGCCTTTCTCATTTTGGAGTTTTTTAAGATAAATTCTTGAAAATATTAATCTGCAAGTTTTTCTAATTTTTCTCAATTTTGAATCAGGTCTTTATAGTTTATTTTATTTTAATCTAGCCTTTATAGTTTGATTCATTAAATATATTAGTCCTTGAAAGTTAAAATTAGTAATGAATAATTGATTTTTTTTCAAAATAAAAAAACTTTTAAAATTTATAGGAAATTTGATTTAATATTTTTAGCAAAACAAATTGATTTAATGCAATACTTACATTTTTATTAATTTTTTGTGAAAATTCTATATATTCAAAAGTTATTCAGAAAACATAACCTAATTTATAAGTTTTGAACTATAAAAATCGTGAAATTAATTCTAAAATTATATAATCTTTTAATAAACATATAGAAGCTTAAAATTAAAGGACTTTAACAAACAGATACTAACATATTTAATCTATCAAATTATATGGACTTGATTATATCAAAAATAAACTATAAAGACTTGATTTAAAATTGTGTAAAACTATAAAGAAGTGTGAATTAATTTTTCCTAGATTCTCTATTTATACTTTTAATTTTTATGCAGGCGCCATGGGTTTCTATTTTTCGGCTAACAGATGCGATGGGACTCTAGAGAAAGTTTTTTATGCTTTTTGAGTAATATCTAATTTTATAATATTGTCAACAGTGTTTTTAGCGTCTGTCTCTGCATTCACACGCAGAGGATAGCTAGCTTTAAAGAAAAAGAAAGCACAGGATGACATTGACTAAAAGGACATAAACAAAAGAGAGAATCGCACGGCCCTAAAAAGACTTGCACTGCAAGGATAATGCACTGCAGGTCAAGGCTTTTTGTTACAATTTTTTTTTTGAAATAAAAGTATAATTTTATCTTTATATGATATTGTGTTGTACATGTTTTACATGATTATTTTAATTAATCTGTATATCAATTGGATAAGTATGGACATTATGTTAAGAATTCATGAATATCTTATATTATGTATCCATGAATATTATGTTATACATTATCTGCGTAACTTGTATATTTTATTAAACATATTAATCAACTTAGTACACATGGATATTCAATTGAGAATGTATTGACATCATGCTGTGCGTCCATATATATTTTATTGTATATTGTTTGCGTAATTTGTACATTTTATTAAACTTACTGATCAATTAAACACATATAAATATTGTATTGAAAATTCATAAATATTGTGTTAAGAATTCATGAATATCGTGTTTTACACCCATGAACATTGCATTGTACATAACCTGTGTGACTTGTATATTTTAATTAACTTACAGATCAATTTAATAAATATAGGCATTGTGTTGAGAATTTATAAATATTATATTGAGCTTTGTTGATAATGGTTTCACGCAGGTTCTGAGTTTTAAAATCACACAAGGATAAAATTGTGCTTTTGCTCTCAAAAAAATTGCAAGAAAAACCCTTGAGTCTACAGTGCATTATCAACATTTATTAGGTGTAAAGTGAAATTTTTTATTTTTTAGGACCTGCATTGCGATTCTCTCTGAACAAAAGGCAGTGAGGTTGGCGTTCAGTCCTTTCGTTTAATTTGGTGTCCTTGCAGAAATTCTCAATCTCCGAAATGCTCAGATGCAATGAACAAAATCAAGCTTAATTAAACTCAAATTTCATTGCTGATGATGATACACATTAGAATTCCCAACTTCACGTTTAACGCGAGTTCAAATTGGAGTTCAATTCACCAAGGCATAATGCATGACATCATCATCATCATCATGAGAGTTGAGCAATGTGACGCCCGCCAAAACCAATTGAGTTTCCACATCCCAACCCGCAAGCTCTGCAAAACTCAGGTCTAAGTCATGTATATACAATCATATCACCATCAACAAATTAAAAGCGGACAAAGTTTGGACAAATTACCCCAAAACTGAAATTAAGCTAAAACCTTGACAGCTATTTCATCAAGCTAAGCTTGGAGCCACATTGAAATTGGTGTGACACCAACAACGTAGAATTCTTTATTTCATTTAATTTCCAATACAGGTAGCTGGCAAGTCACCATTTTCTACTGTAGTACAGCGCACGATCATTGTATTATAGTAATTCAACCTCAAGCCTCGTGTTGATATTATTGGTGCGGTGGAAATACAGCCCCCCTAAGCATCGCAGCCGGATAAAAAATCAAACTAGGAGACATTGCTGAAATTGATGGGACATCAATACACGCAGAAGGATTTACACTAATTTCGTTAAGAACCTATTCGAATTCTACAGTATTCTGAATTTAAGAGGGGAGGATTCATGTCTTGCTTCATGCTAGCTATATTCCCAGCTTTAATCGTGTTTTGAGACCACCAGAACAGCAAGGAATTTTACTCTGGTGTCTACTGACAAGGCTGGGTCAACAGAAACGAGACAGTATATTTTGAAAAACAACACGAGACCGTGTCACAACTCACAAGACTTGGGGCAGCAATGCCATCTTTCGGTGCACTGTCGGAGGACCAAAGACATTCTTTTTACCCCCAGCGGACCAACAGATTTTACGATTTCCTACCCAAAAAAAAAAAACACTTAGTGTCAAGTCTCAACTCTATTGCTGGCCCAATACGATCTCGAATAAGTGTCCACTTATTTGGGCTTTAAAAGCTCATATGTCAGATCATTTGAACCTCAATTTGCGGAGACCCAATAAACCTTGATTTGGGCTTCTCTATGCTTTTTACAGGCTTAAAATTTAAAATAGAAAAACTGAGTGTTCTTTTTGTGGAAGAGTCTCTGCTATTGGCAAAGGATTTGGGCTTACAGAGAATATGCGTGGAAGGTGATTGTGAAGTGTTGTTTAATATTGTTAATAATGGTTTTGTTGCATATTATGATTGAAAATGCTCTAGTGTTATCAATAACATTGAAAGTTTGAGGAATTTTTTGAAGATTTGTATTTTCTTTCTAATCAATAGAAGTTGTAATAGGGCTTCAGATTTTCTTGCAGGAGAGGCTAAAAGGAAGATGAAATTGGTTGGCTTGTATTTTCGCCTCCATCTATCTTGAATCAGATGCTAGATATTGATAGAATTAAAGCTTTGAATTTTTTTTGTTAATGCTACTATAGTTGGTTTTTGTGAGATAGGAACTAGTTAATTGTTTTGTCGCCTTGTTGAATAGTTGGAACTGATTTTTGCATATTTTTTGTAAGTTTTTGTGTGATAGATTGCATTTGTTGGTTTTTTTTTAGAATTTTTTTGGCTTCAACTATTTGCGTGTACTAAATTTTTTTTAGTGACTAATAAAATAGCCTCTTTGTTGGTAAAAAAAAAAAAACTGAGTATTGGATACACAAGAGTAACCTCTATTTTACAATTATGATAGTTCTATTGACTAATGCAAATTCTAGTTATGTTCAATTTTAAGTAGAGATAGATTTTCTATTTACAAACTTTAAACGCAAGATTTTAATAAAAAATATTCAATCCATCAATTTAAACCCAGTTATCATGAAATAAAAAATCAAACACACATAATTTTTATTCGATATGTCAAGGGGAATTCTTGCTTTCTCTATACCCCACCTACTTTTATTACTTGACCTGTTATAATTATAAAGAATTTTCAATTGTATACATTGTTATATTGTGATAATTATTTTCTTTAAAATTGTAAATGTTTTTGCATTTCATACTCTGGAATTTAAAAATTGAGTCATTACTTATAATTTGTAGATAATGCAATATGTTATAGATTATACACGCACGCAAACGATTTCTTGATTTAAAATTAAATGGTTGCAAAAGGAATTTTAAAAAGAAAAAAGAAAGAGAGATGAGAAAACAATTACAATTACATGCGTAGCACTAATTACCATGAAATTTTACTGTTTATAGCTGATAAGTAGTAAATAATAATATTTTTTTTTTCACCAAATAAAAGTTGGCATATCAATCATTGATATAAAATATAAATTTTAAAAAGTGTAGTAATTCTAAGTTAAAAAAAAAAATACTCAGTTCATACCTAAGATAAATAAGGAAAAACCTAATCTTGTATGTTTAAAGTAATTATTTTCAATTAGATCAAGATATATAAAGTCATTATAAATTATTTATTTTATAATAAATTTTTAATATTAATATTGTTATCACTTCAAAATTTACAAATTTTGATTTGATTGGATAAACAAGATCAAAATATACGTTACAGTTTAGTTTTTGAAATAAAAAATTATGTGAAATATTCAAGATGGACAGATGGCGCTCCTCAACTGATAAGTGGATGACGCCGGCCTGGCCATACGTCTGATGGGGCAGGATAGCACCGCGTCACTGAGACATGAGCATGTTGACACCCAGTGACACTCGCCAAGTTTTCCGTCATGTATCGCCATCGTCCCCTCGGGTTCCGGCGATCACTTTCCACGATTCCGCCAAGCACATCCACCTTCGCCGCCGCCACCTCCTCACTGCACTCACCATCTCCTTCAATTTCATTGCACCCTTCACAACTTCTCTGCCCATTGCAGAGCCGGTCGCTGCCGCACGCGGTCTCTTCCAGATGCCTCCATTTCGTCTGAACAATCGGTAATTCCAACAAACTCTATCAGTTTTTATTTTATCCTAAGTTTGACAATGACAGTTGCTGGTGATGTGGGAAAGTTATTTCCTGGTGAGGGCTGGAGAGTCTCAATTCGAAAACATGGGAGTGATTAACACGAACCCGGTCGCCAAGACTTCTGTCGATAGTGGCTTGTCTGAAAGGGGGAAGAAGCAGGCGGTGAGAGCTGCTTTTGATCTCAAGGAAATGGGGGCTTGTGATAAGAGTTGCTGGATTTGGCCTGCCATTACTCAGAGAGCTTATCAGACTGCTGAAATTATTGCATCTGTTAATGGAGTTAGTAGAAGGTGTAGCAATTAACTTTTGAACTTGATTGCTATTGGTACGACAAGTAGACGCCGATCTTTTAGAATTCTTCAGTCTCAAATCGAACGTTTCTTTACTTGCTTTTTGTTGAACGAAATGTTTCTGGCCCTACCATTGGAAGTTAACTGATCTGTCAGATTGCTTAGAATGACTATATTTTATTGGACAAGAACTATTCATAAGGTGTTGGGCTATAAGTAATCTCCACTTATCATTTGTTTTTAATATTGGTGAAATTCTACCAAAGTTTTGTCCTATGTTGTTTGCCAGTTATAAATTTATCTGCTTTTGAAATGTTGCTCACATGGTTTCAACTTTTAAGAAATCCAGAACAACAATTCCCACATTAAACTTGTCACTCTATCTTAGAGTCAGGCTATGCTGCGCGGGAGCTGAGCGTACTTGTCAATTTCTTTCATTTCAGCTTTATAGTTCCAGAATACAGCTTTCTGGACGCCCGTGGGTTGGGTGCTTATGAAGGCAAAAGCTTGGAATCCATGTCAGAAGTAGGATTTCTCACCTGTACTGTTTAACTGAGATTTGCTTTCATGTTCTGTTAGATCAGTTTCTTTACCACCCTTTTTTTGGGCCGTGCAATAGCGTGCATTATCTATTCTAGCTTTGTGGAATTTGTAGGATGAGGATGTTATGTGTCTAAACTTCACTATCATATGAATTCTGCAGATATACCGTTAGATAGTATTTCTCCAAACAGCAAACCACCTCCTGTGGATGATGGAACTCCAAATGAGAGCGTTACTGATGTTTTTGTTCGTGTAACGCAACTCATGTCCATTCTCGAAACTCAGTACTCAGGTGATACTGTGGTTATAGTTTCCCCAGATTCTGACAATTTGACGGTTCTTCAGGCTGGTTTGACAGGCATTGACCTGCGAAGGTAACTAACTGTCTGTACTGCTGATGAATCACAATTATTATACTCTAGAGAGTATTATTGGTGTTGGATCATGTCACAATTTCCTTACGTTTTCTTCTTCTTTGATATTTCAGGCACAGGGATTTGTCTTTTGCTCTTGGTGAAGTCCGTTTTGTTGATGCCAAAAGCATTCCTACTTATAAGCAGCCTGCATCTGCTGTATATAAATGTTTGAACCCGCCAAATTGTAACTAACTTTTCCCTTCTAATCAAAAGCAGAAAAAGAAGGTATTGGTGAATCGGTTTGATATGATCATATTTTACTACTATATAGGCATGCAGATTCTTAAAAAGAAGGGAAAAAATCCAATGCTCTATAGTTATGGATGCATGATAGTTTTACCTTGAACTCGGTACTACGAAGTTTGAAATCAAACCAAGTAAAACAATTATTAAAGGCTACCTTATCTCAATTATAAGATTCATACTAAGTCGCTTCTTTTGCAATTCGATCGGAATTGAAGTAAGAAAACCCAGTGGACACCATGGAACTAAATACGACAAATCGTACTGGATAACTCCTGATCAGATTTTTCGTTCTTCTTCTTCTTCTTCTTTTTCTTCTTTTTACTGGCCACCAAGAACGTCAAAAACCTACTGAAATTAAGGCTTCAAGCTCAATCAAATGTCCTAAAAGAAACAAATGTCTCCCTCCAATATAATATTACATCACAAGTACGATGCATTTTTTATTCTAGATTCTTAACATATGACACGTGTTATCTTTGTATTGAATTTGATTCAGTATAAGTACTAGAACTTTTGTATGCACTACTTCAATTCTATTTATAAATTATTTTTATCAACCTCATCAATATTAATATAATAAAAGTATAATAAATAAAAGCAAGTGAAATTTCAAATATAATATTCAAATAAAAAAAAAGTAAACAAATAATATAATATTTTTTATCATTATTTCTCTTACTTTTTAAGGTAATTTAGGAATTTCAATTTAAAATAAAACTATCCTATTAACTAGTGACTTATAAAGGAGATCAGGTTATACTTCTAAAAAGTGACTAATGTATAAAGCCAAAGGAGTACAATACATACATTTCATTTCATCTTTTTTTTATCATTTTTGCCAATGATTTAAAAACTAAGTTGACATGGACAGTTCAGATGATCAAACTGTTGATTGGAACCTTTATTGGCTTGTTTCAGAACAAAAAGCCTTTTTCATTATTGAGTCAGATTGGATTGGAGTTAAGTCAATATTGAGCCAGAAATTGGAGTTAAATCAGAAACTAAAGTGATTTTATAAAACCGAATAGTTTTAAACATAATATTAAAAAAAATTAAATTTTTTTAAAAAAATAAAAATTAGATCCTACTAAAAGCTAACTTTACTTTTAAATAATTCACATGTACAAAATATGATTTGAAACTATTTTTATAAATATATTGACAATTATAGATATAAATGCAAATACTTTTGAGTCCATTCGTATCTAATTATCCAAAATCCACCTATATTTAATAAGTTAAAGAATTATACTTTATAATATTATTAATTTGCAATCGTGTTATATCACTTTATTAATATAATATAAATTTTTTATTATATTTATTATATATATTTAATGTTATTTTTGTTTAATTATTACATTACCGGTTCAACCATTGATTCAATTCAGTTGGATCCTGCAAACCGTGAACCACTGATCTTTTCAATTCAATACCCAGTGCAATTCTAAAATTGTTGATTTTTGCCTTATTACTTTAGAATACTTTGATGGGTGATTTGGTGATTGACAAATAACTTGGGCTGAGCTCGTAAAATTTATCCAAGATGCTTGACAGCGACCAGGAACATAGTTGGATAGAAGCCTGTTTTATGTGTTGCTGGATGGCTGTAAAAAATGAATCCAACTTGCAATGGCATAAATGCTCGCCGTAGACCATTGACGAACAACCGTGTTTCCTAACAGAACTAAAATAGAATCTGTGAAACAGTCTAGAGAATTTTGGTACACTGTGAAGCCTAACATATACCAATGATTAAGTACAAAACTGCCCCCAAATATGGGGCATGATCCACCTGTTATACTTCACATCTTGTCTGTGTAACTGGAGGACCATAAATTGGGTCGCAATTAATTGGATTTCTTAATTAATTAACATTGCCAAGCTGTATATATAAGAAGTGAGAATGAAAATGATTGTAAACTCTGAAATTCCTTACTAACTGGTCCTGTTATAATAAATGGATATCTTCCGATGGACCAAGGACTGCACCCTTTTTGGCACAAATAACATTGATTGGAACTGCATATATGTGCAAGTCCCTTTATTTCTCTGACGTATACGTAAAGTTGAATCATGTAGCCAACTTTACCTAATGAGATAGAGATTGTTGTTCTTGAATACATAAAGTTGAATTTCCTTATAATCTCATGTTCAGTTTTGTCTCCACTTGTATACTGATTTGCTTCGTGCGGTTGCATCCTTCGCTTCTAGTGTTAATGTTTGATACTTTGATGCAAAGCTATAAAAAAATAAGATCATTCATTTCTTCCTTAGAAAGCAGTTATTGTTGTTTGTAGTGCTGAGATGAGGAAAGATGAAAAAGGGGTCTTGTGAGAAATAGGGCAAAGACTCCATTATCTGGCATTAGTAGGTTGCTTTCCCCAATATAATATTTTTTACATGAAAGAAAAGACGTTGTTAAAGCAGAGACCTTTAATTTCCACTTTCCAGCAGGCGCTTCTTCGGAAAGCTTACTCTGAAAGAAACCTGATAACTCTTTCATCAATGAATCTTGTTTAATTTAAGCTTTTAGCAAGACCCCACTTCGATTTTCTTGTATATTTGTTTATCTCATCATAGTATCTTGTCTGATCATTATTATCATGGAGACACCAAAACTCCTACAAAAAGACAATGCATTATAGTTCGCAGGGGCAAGGCTTTCTCATTTAAAGCCTATCTTTATGTGAAGCTGCCTGAGAGGGATCGGTGTGAGTGAAAGTATGACGACCGCAAAGAAGTTGATTGCTTGGGATATGAATCACTTTAGTAGCTTGGTGGAATGTTATATAAGATGCACGATCCGATTTTGTCCCCGCAAGGTCCTCACCAATGAAAGCATGCCAAGTAAGAAGATCTGCATGATTGGCTCGCAAAGAGGCAGGCTCATTGGCCAGAGACTTTGTTGACTCAAATCGACTTCTGAGAGACGCGAAGCAACTGAAGCCTCAGACTTTTTTCAAGCGTCTTTCTTACTCCCTCCCTTTCTCTTTTGGCTTGTAATTTATTTATGATAAAAATATCTTCTTTTCATGATCCTGGATTCAAATTGCAAAGAACTGAACACAACAACAATGAAATAATGGCAAGCATGAAGTGGGAGTCTGGGGGTCATCAGTTGGAGTCGCATCACCCAAGCGACACGCCAGGGTCAAACTACCACACGGCTCAGAACACACCGGAGGTGCTGCACTGGGATAACTGTCAGGAGCAGCAGCAAGTAGCGCCGGCAGCGTTGAAGAGGGAGACGGTGGTGAGGACGACAGAGCTAGTGTTGAGAATGTGCGAGGTGGTGTTATGTCTAGTCTCTGCTTCGATTATGGCCACGGACAGGACTCAAGGTTGGGCCGGTGACTCCTTTGATCGCTACAAGGAATACAGGTATACACTGACGTCATCACAACACATCTCTGTGGGTTATAAATAGAGTGAATGATCATTAACGAGATTAATCGAGTGCGTGATAATTATAATGAACTAACGATCATGGCATGCAGGTACTGTTTAAGTGTGAATGTGATAGGGTGTGTATACTCGGGATTTCAAGCTTGTGAGAAGGCGTATCAACTCATGTCTGCCAAAAACAAAGGCATCTTCACTCCCAACCTCCGCTCTCACTTCGATTATCTCATGGATCAGGCAAGTAATTACAATTTACACCCACTCACTCACATTTTAAATTAATAGAGAGATACAGAAAAGAATAATTTATGTATACATAGGTGGTGGCGTATCTGTTGGTGTCAGCGTCGTCGAGCGCAGCGACGAGGGTGAAGGACTGGGAATCAAACTGGGGAAAAGATGACTTCACAGAGAAAGCAAGTGCTTCCATTGCCATGGCGTTTCTGGGTTTCATTGCCTTTGCAATTAGCTCACTCATTTCCTTCTTCAAACTCGGAACTTCCACGTCATCTTCCACTTGATGATCCTCCTCTTTCACCTTTCCGTCTTCGTCGACCTGCTTTTTCTCTATCTGTATAGTAACTTTACTTTCCATTCCACCCCAGTGCTTCTCCATTATAGATCTTTACTCTTTTATTAGGGTGGTGAAGCAAATTAAATAGATCCAACTTTGGTATGAACGGAAAGTGGATGCGGCACGTTATTTGAGTGTTAATTAATTGAAAAGTCTTTTTCCAGTGGAGGGTAGGACCGCCTGATTTCATCAGAATTCAATTTCTACATATGTGGTCTCAGTAAAGTTGGTTTCCACTATGATCCAATCTTTCTTTTTCTTTTTTTTTTTATATCTAATAATTTCATGTCCTCGTCATTACGTGCCCCGATTTGTATTCTAAATTGTATTTGAGTACAATTACAGTCAATGAACGAAGGATAAAGTTGAAAATAAGAATTGAGTTTGAAAGCTTTATTTAAGTTTGGACTTTAAAAATATTTTTTTAAAAAATAATCAAATTTAATGACTTGATAAGCTTTGCAAAAAAAAGTTTAAGTTTCGGCAACCTTCAAGCCCCATCATCATCCTCATCATCTTTTGTAAAACATGTATTTAAAGTTAATGACCTGCTTACTTAATCCTACACACATTATATTATTATTAATTTTAATTTATTTTAAGATTAATTTAATATAATTTAATAAATATTAGTGTATAAAATAAAATTTTTAATATTTTTTATTTTTTTTATAATTATTACGTTTGTATATTTATAAAAAAATAAATTATTTTTTAATCAAGATTTAAATTTTATTATTAGACATCTAAATGTGTGTTGTTTAATTTTTAAAAAATTATTAAAATTTTAATTTTTTATTTTAAAATATTTTAATTAATTTATAATGTTTAATTTTATTTTTATTTTTTTTTTTTTAAAAAAAAAGCTTGCAGGCCTGATCTTGAACCCTTTACATAAGGGTTGAATTTGAAAAATAAGATTAAAAATGAGAAATTGAGCTTTAGGGCTTAGGCCTTTAAGGGCCAGACCTGCTCATATTCCTAATTCTAAAAGCATGATAAACTATAGGATAAAAATATTAAATTTTAAGGCAATTGCATACAATCCCTGTTAGTTTTAAATATTTAAAATTAATCCCCTAACTATACTTTTAATTTTATTTTTCAAAATCTTTTAGTATTAATTAACTATTATTTTATTAATATAGTTGTTACCATATCAGATTAATACAATACACATGACGCATATGACATGAAAAAAATATTTTTGTTTTTTTTAACACAATTTAAAGAGTAGGGGCAAAATTATAATTTTTTATTTGAGCAACATTGTTCTTATTGTTCACAAGTAACATAATTTAAGAAAAAAATTATAATTTTATTATTATGTATCAATTAAAACATCTTTTTATACTAAACAAATAAAAAATAGGAAGAATTGCATTGCAGTAATGTAATCTCATATAAGAAAATTAATTATTATAAGGTTCATTAACAATTGAATTAAGGTCACAACTGATTGCAGTTGTCGATGGTTTTAGTTCAGTTGTTAATGAATCTTATAGTAATTAATTTTTTTATGTGAGACTTGGATGTAATTTTCTTTAAAAAATATCTAAAAGCTATCATGAATAAGAATCATGTAAATAAAAATGTATTCTTTAATACAAGAAAAGTATGATATTTTACTAGGGTTTTTTAACAAAGTCAATATGAATCACCAATAACAAAAACAAAAAAAAAATCTTATTATAAAGTAGCATATATTGAATTTGTAACAAACCTGTAACATATATTTTTATTTAAGTAAGCACTGAAAGCTTCATTTAAAGGAGAAAATAACAACTACAAATAAATAAGAGTTTGAAAAAAATAAAATAAAAATTAATATAAAATATTATCTTAATTGATAAAGAATAATAAAATTATAATTTTTTTAAGCTTTATTATTGATTAACAACGAGGACAATGCCACTCAACTAAAAAAAATAAGAGTATTATCATATGTGTTAAAAATAAAAATTATGAATTTATTTCTTCTTAAATTGTGTTAAAAATAATAAAAATATTTTTTCATATCATATATCATGTATATGGCATTAATATGATATAACAATAATTATATTAATAAAATAATAGTAATTTGCATAAAAGTCATTGCAACTTGAAAACTTTGAAGTCGCCCCATGCACAAGTAGCTGTGGAGATAAAAGTGGCGAGACGAGCGGAATTTTATGGGCCTGAGAAACAATGTTCCGAAGCACGAAACTTAAAAAGTGATAATCCAAAATTACTCTTGGGCCCACGAAATAGTAAACGCGAAACCCGAATTTGCTTCTAAACTATTTTCTAAATAAACCAAATGTCATAAATTATTTATATAGTAGTAATTTTATTTCTAAAGTAATTAAAATATAGTAAAAATATATGTTAACTTAAATTCACTAGGCATGACAGGTGGCATTCTTGGCCAAATGCAGGTCTTAATTAACATTTTTAATGGTTAACATTGATTATTTAATATCAAGGGCAAATGTGCTACGTTTAAATTACTTAATGAGCAAAAATATTATAATAAATAGTTTAAGATATTAGGTGCTTTTCAAAAAAATAGTTCAGATGTAAAAAATTCACCCTAGCTCTAGTAATTTTAAAAACATTAATTCACATATCTTTATAGTTTCTCTTAATTTAAAATTAAGTCTATGCAGTTTATTTGATTTGAATTGAGTCCTTAAAATTTGATTCATTAGACCTGTCAATCTCCTGAAATTTAAAATCCCTTAATTTTCCTTTTAAAAATAAAATTTAAGAACTTTTATGTTTTGTTTTGATTTCATTCGTGTACTCTGAACTGCTGGCTTCGCCTGGTTATGCTATTGTATCTTTGCTGGTAAAAACAAAAAGCTGTATCAAACACAATAAACCACCAGGATGTAATTGGCCCAAGATAGTTCTGATTCTCCAAGTCAAAAAATTTCGCTAAAATGTGAGTAATATGATATTTGGCATAATTTAAAGAAGTGCCTACAAGACTACAAGCTGGCAACTGAATTAATCTAAATCAAAAAGTTAGATACTCGGATGATCCTGGACAAAAGTGAAAAAAAAATATATATTAAAAAAAAATACATCCAAGGAGAGGCAACAAATTTTTTTGCTGCTCAGGAACAAAACTTCAGAATCTGTACCAACGCCCCACGGGCATTCAAACAGGTTATTAGTTGCTGTGCAAAGTCTAAGTAGAGAAAGTGCCCATAAATAATTTAGGTTTTTTTTTTTTGGCTGTAAATAATTAAGGCATAAAAAATGACTAAAACCGTGGCCCACACTCTCAGACAGAGACCGAGACCGAGATGGCTCTTGTTTAACAGCTCCTAAATTCAACAAATCCTTTTTATGTGTTCAAAACTGACCGACTCATGCCATTACTCAGTAACTCTGTCTGCCATTTTTAAATATATATTTTAATTGGTATTAATTTATCCATTAAAGTATTTGCATTTGTATATTAAAAATATTAATCATATTCTTTTTTATGAAAACATATAAATTCTAGAAATGACAATAAAATTAAATTACTATTTGGAAGAATGATAAATTAAGACTTTTAAAAATATCAACAGCTGTTTATAACTGAAATATCAGGATTTTTTAAAAAAAAAATTGATCAAAACCGAACAATAATCAAGTCTGTTTCAGTTTTTGTGATATAAGAACCAATTGGTTCAATTCAAGTTTAGTTTTGAGTACCAGAAACCGAGCAAAACTTGATTTTAAAATGCTATTTATTTATTTATAAAATATATAACCATTTATCTACAAGAAACATTTTGTTTTGAATTTGTTATAATAATAAATAAACATTTTTAAAGGACTTGAATGAAAATGCATAATATTAAATAATTATAATAATAATGTCATGACCATCATTTGATTATTTACAACTTAAAAGCCCAGTATTCAATTTATCTACAAGAAGTATTTTGTTTTAAATTTTGTATAATAAATTTTTCATTATTTATTAAAATATAGATACATAGATAAATATTTTTAAAGGATTTGAATGAAAATGCATAATATTAAATAATTTTAATCTTAAAAACTTATATCAATTTTTATGATTAATTATTGTTATCACATTATAATTTTATTATATTTTTATGCCTCTACTTATGAAAAAAAAAAGCCAAAAAGAATTAAATTTAATTTTAATACATAGCACCGTTATGAAGATGAAAAAATGAAAAAAAAAAATAAGTGTATTGAAGCCTGATTCAAACCTTAACCAAACCAAATTGAAAATAAAATCAAATCAAACTGAACTCTATAAAAACTGACCAAGTTTCAGTTACGAGTAAACTGAATAGTTTGATTCAACTCGATTTTTGCCTAAAATCAAACCAAACCAAACTAAACTTATGAATACCCCTAGATGTGAGACTTGATGAATGTTCACAGCATTCCTTTTATAACTCAAGGCCTTCTTTCTCATTGTTCTTTTTTCTTATGATTTGGTTGATTCTTTTAGCCATGTCCTCAAGCCTTTTGATTTAATATAAACATATCATTTTAATAATTATACTTTATATTATTTATCTATAATTTTATTTAAACTTGATGTTTTGAATTTAGCCAAAATATGTTTTCAAAATGTGCCTAACATTCTATCATTCTCTCAACATCTTTTTTAAATTTTAATTTCTAATTGAAATACTTTGTTCATGATAAATATTAATTATGTATTCATCAATAATAGATCATATTACCAAGTATTTATTAATACTTTTTGAAAAATATAATACTTACATCAATTTCCTATTTAATTAAAATACATGAATTTAAAAATTATTAATTTAATATCAATCGATTTGACCACAATCCAATCATTAAATCATGAGCCAATGCCTAGCCTAATTAAATGACATGTTCGATTTTACTTTTTATAAATACGTTATTAAACATTTTCTTTGTTTTTTTATTTTGAATAACAGACAATTGCTTTTAAAATAGATTTCCAAACAAACCATTATATTCTACTTAACACAATCACTCATTCACTCCAACCCACGGATAATGTAATGGGTACCCACATCTATCATCAATTTTGTTTTAACCCCCTCACTCACTCACATCATTTTTATCCTAAACTGTTTGCAAGGGTTGCCATGATGCACCCACTACTACCCTTGATTTAAATGAAATATGTGCGTGGAAGAAAGCATACAAGGGGGGAAAACTATTAAAAAAAATAATATAATCAAATTTTACTATTTTTAACTTTTTTCTAGTATTCTCTTTCCTATGTTTTCCTTTTATTTTTC